GGCGGGGGTGACTGTGAGGACTGAGGCACTAAGTGCACCACCCTTGGCAGAGCAAGCACTCTAAGCACTGGTGCTTATAGGTGTGTACTTGTCTGTTCGCCACCCCGGAAATTGCAGCTCCTCGAGGGCAGGAGGTATCCCAGTCTACTTGTTGCCACCTCTCTGCGGCCTTCCACATTGGCTCAATGATTTGCAAGTCGGTGAGGATGAGGTTTGATGAGGGGCAGGGGCCTGCCCGGCTCCCTAACCCCCACCCCTGCCTAAGTCTGCTTGTGCCTGGCTCTCTGAAGGACACCAGAAGAACAGAAGTCACTGTCCCTGCCTCTGCATCCAACAGGAGACCAGACCTACTCAGGAAACAAACAGCAGAGTCAAGAAAAGCAGGTCATTGTGCCCATGAGTGCAGTGCAGGAAGGCTGCAACTGGTTTATAGGGTCCTGCGGTTGGGGTTAATTTCTTTAAGAGCACTCCGAAGACATCAGACACTGAGATTACCTAGATGGGACCTCGCCGTCTGCTTCTTATTACCCAGATGTCTGGTGACCAGTCTTTGATCCAAGAACAGTCCTCCCTCCAGCCCCTAAGCGGCCCCTCTCCCCCATCCCCCACCCCTGCCAGCCCACAGACGTTTCCAGGGCTTGGCCTTTACGACTCCCAGTGACTCCTCTCCTCTGTCTCCTCTGTGCAGAAATGGAAGCTCCACTCTCGCAGACGCCGGGAAGCCCTGAAGATGTCCCCAGGGTGTCACTGCCCTCCAGGTAAGGATCCCTGCAAATGGGTGACTAGGATGGGGACACATACCAGAGGCCCCCTGGGTTCTGGTCACACCCTGCTCCGAGAGTCACTTTTCATTTGAAAGATGGGAATGACAATACCTGTCATTCCATCTACACACTGATCGGCCCACCCATCTCCTATCCATCATTCATTCATTCATTCATTCAAGCATTCATTTATTCATGAACTCTTCTATGAGCCTTCACTGTATGCACCAGGTTGTGAAATTAGATAAGATAATGGGAGTGGCTATGTTTTGCAAATTCCGAAGTGTTATACAGAATTGAAGAGGAAATAAACCCAGGAGGGCAGAGACTAGGCTCATCACGGTCACTGTCATGCCTCCAGCTCCTGACACAGTAGATATACAAAAGTGTTTGTTACCAGAATGAATGAGTTCCCCTATAATTGCAAAACTTGCCTGCCCTCGCTAAGTGGCTTAAGGTGCTGCGTGGATAGTATCTAGGCCACCCACACAAACTCACACTTGCCCACAGGTTCAAGGTTGCAAGGTGATGTAGTGTAATAAACTAAGTCCAATCTGTCTAATCTGGGTTTAAATTCTGCTTCTGCTATTTACTAGCCCTGCGTGGGCAGATCACCTTCGAGGACGCCCCTTCTCATGCCATTTCCTCCATATTGCATAGCCGGCTCCTCACCTGGGTCTGTTCATCTAGTCACAGCTATATACTGGGTTCCTGCTTTGTGCTGGGTGCCATGCTGTGTGTTGGGTTCGATTGCATTGTCCAGTTAATAATAATGATGTTATAGCTCATGAGGACTTTTCTAGTTTGCTAACCATTATTATTAAGCCTTGAGAATGACAGATGGGCAAGCTTCATTGTTCCCATGGTAACTGAAACAGGCTGTACTTTTTAGGGGATGAGGAAGAAAGCTCTAAAAAAGAGTTGAGGGAGACAAGGTAACACTTTTGAGTAATTGCAGAGGACTCTACACTGCTATGGGCCTCTGCCAGCTCAGAGTGTGGCCCCCAATACCTGTCGTGCACAGGTGGCATTAACAGGACACTAACCGGGCTCTCTGGCAGGCCCTCCATGGACACAGGAGCGAAGGGGCCCAAAAAGCCCTCACCCAAAGTCCCCAAGCCAGGGAAAAGAGGCCGATAGATGTGAAATGGAGGGATTGCATTTGCTGGAGCGTGAGTGGGCTGAGGTGGGAGTCACAGTTCAGAGGTGCTGCCAGGGGAGATGGTGAGACCATGATGAAATTCAGCTGGCTCCAGGCAGAAGAGGGTCGTCTGGGTTAATTAAAAGAGTGTCCAGAAACCCTGGGAAGCTCTCTCCCTCCCTCGGGAGATTGAGCTCTAGGATCTGGGAAAGCTTTTGGGAGAAGAATGCCAGGATTAATGAGATGAGATGAAGGCAGGGTACGGTGACGGGGCCCGGGCAGAGCAATGTAGCATCAGGGTTTCTGGGGCGACCTACGTTTCATATAATGATGTCTATTGTCCCCATAACTCTTGGTCAATTGCAGTCTTCTTTACTCGAAGTATAAAATGCTGATGAAGGGCAGGAGATTTGGAGCCATGAGAGACAGAGATTTGAATTCCAGCTCTGACATTCACCAGATATGTGACCTTCAGCCATGGAAGTGTAGAATAAATGCATCTAGTAAGATGGGCCCAGTCCTGCTGCATCCCTGGACCTGCCCCGTCTGCCCAACCTGAGGCTTCTCACCCTACAGTAAAGTTACCTCCTTCACACTGAAGCCTGCGAGCCACATGGCTGCCAAGCTATTATGAGTAATAGCGGTTATTGCCGCTGCCCCTAACTGAGCACCTACTATGTGTCGGGCACAGTATCAAGCACTTCACATTGATGGATTATCTTCTCCAGGACTCTTCACAGTTCTGACATTGTGAAATGTTCGTAATCCCTAAACTCAGGGGTAAAACATCACTGTCATTCTTGTGCCTAAATCATTCATCTTCGATTCTTTCTTTAGGGTCAGAGTTTACGAATCACTTTAAAGCTCCTGATACTTGCAGAAGGACTTAGACAATTGTAAAGTGCCACATACAAAGTCAAAGTATTATTCTTTTTTGTCTTGCCAGTGCCTAGTATAGTGCTCTATGCATAGTGGATGCTCAAGAAATATTCCGTAACTGATCATCGAGAATCATTCCTGAGTGATTGGATTCTTTCTCATATTCTCCATCTCCCCTCTGGTTGGTTTCTGACATCTCCCCCCTCTAAGACTGCTCTGAGTCTTGCCTGATGCTGAAGTCAGCGCTGTTTGGACACAACAAATAAACACACACTCTTCCTGCCCACTGTGGCTGCTGAGACTGGAGCCTAGAGCCTCAAACCATGCTTGCCCCCAGTTTGCCTCTGCAGCTGGCTGGGCTGAGGTGGGAGTCCTGTGGTGGGTGTGTTCTTCCTTGTGGCAGCCTTGGGCCCTGGGCGGCATCCAGAGGGCTTGGGACACATAATCGTGGGCAGAAAACCCACCTCCTTCCCTTCCTACTCTGACCTTGCCAGCATCCTCCCAGGATCCTCCCTGTCCCAAAATAGCCATGTATTGGCTGAGATCTGGCTGCATCCTGCTTCTGGCCTGCATGTACTGTTCACCAGGGGAGCGATGGGCCTGCAGCCCTGGGACGGGATGCCAAAGGTCGGGCCTCGTTAGGAGGGTCACAGTGGCCAGAAGTTCAGAGGAATAGGTGTGGGCCTTTTGCAAAGCATATGGCCTGCTGAGGCAGGAGAAGGGCCTTGGGAACAGATATACAGACCGTGGGACTTCCTAGGCCACTTAAAAAGAATACAAAGGTCAGGAAAATGCTCCCATTCTGTATCCCTGTTGTTGGTAACAAATGAGGAGCAGGACAATATAGGATCCAGGCAGCAAGGAAACAGCTACTTCAGGCCCGCCACGCTGGGGCTGGGTGGGGCTGGCAATGTGAGGGATGGTACACGTAGAGGGAGCTAGGACCAGCTGTATGGACCTCACCTCTAAGGGGAAGAGTAGGCTAGAGTCAGGCATTGACCACTAGGACTGTAATAGTGGGGACAAGGGAGTGATATGGTCAGATTTGTGCGTCGGCGCCACAGCTAGCTCCGGTATAGAGGATGGACGAAGGGAAAACAAGTGACTTTCAGCCAGGCCAGTGGGAGAGGCCACGGCCATCCTCTGGTTTGGGTGTGCTAGTGAGAGGTGCTTGCGAAGTGTTGGAGATCCCAGAGGAGTGTGCATATCTGCGAAGTCTTCACTGAGGATGTGGCACTGGAGGTCGGTGGTAAGAAACAAGGAAGCACGTAGGAGGGCATACAGTTAGGGCATAGACCCAGCTGCCACCATATCAGTGGACCCCAAATACAGGGACTCTAATTAGAGAGAGGGGAGTCTCTTCGTTAGCAGGCCAGAGGATACTGGTCCAGGGCTGGAAGGGTAGCCCTTCCATCTCTGGACTCCTGGTAGCTGCTTCATTCTCACCAAGCCCTGGCCAGGAAGGAGAAGGGGTCTGGGGAGTATATGCCCAAACCCTTAAGGGCAAAACTTAAAGAAAAACAACCTGACATGCGTCACTTCTGCTCATATCCCATTGACCAGCACTTAGTCACATGGTTACCCCCAGGTCCGAGGGAGGCCAGGCAGTGTGTTTTTGGTGGGTGGCCATACGTGCAGGTATAACTTTATTACTATGGGAAGTGAGAGAACGGATACCGAGGAACAGTTAGCAGTTGCACAGAGGCAGAGCAGGCCGAGGTACTGACATGGACAAAGGCTCTGAGACAGGTCTATTTGGGAATGGCAAGCAGTCGAAGGAAGCTGGAGTATGAAAACAATGATGGGAAATAAGGGTGGAAAAAGACAGCAAAGGCACAGGCTGAGGGGTTCTGGGTCTCTGTGTTCAAAGGGAGGCAAAGGGTTTTCAACCTGAGGGTGATTGATCAGTAAAGGCTGCCTGGAGGGCTGTGCTTTGTCAGATCGTAAGGTTGTATCCAAGGGCAGCAACAGATGTGGCAATTGCTTAATGATGTCTGCCATGGATGCCCTACTGGTGGGCAGCAAAGTCTGTGCCCTTGCTTTGTTACCCCACAAGAGATAGTACAGCATCAGAGAGGGTTTGGGGAGTAGGGGTGGGACCTGATCCAATTTTTATTCTAGAGCAATAACTAGCAGTGCTGTGGACGATGGCTTGGAGAGGAGAAAAGCCCCCTCCAGCAAAAAACAAGGCTGCGATTCTATGAATAGGGCTCTATTTTCTCATGTATATCCTTAATGTTCAGGTTGAAACTGCCCGTCGGGGCTTGGTTATTTTCCATAGGTGATGAGAGCTGGTGTCCACGTGTCCCAAAGCCTTTTTTTTTTTTTTTTTTTTTTTTGGTCTAGCCTTGCCCTGTTTGCTCTGGTACCAGATTTCACCCCAACAGCTTCATGGCATTGACATGGGCAGGGCTTACGGCCAGAGCTTCTGTCCCCAACTGGGCCCCCCTCTCTGCCCCTGGGCTACAGCAAAGCAGACCCACAGCCCCCCTCCTTTCTTTGTGGTTCTCCTTATTTCAGACTCAACTAACCCAGAAAAGGAAGAATTTAGAAAAAAGTGTCTCTTGGTACCATTAATAAAGAAAAGGAAGGAAGAGCTGATGATTGTTTTAGGGAGAACATTTAAACTAAAGAAATACTGTTTTGAGGTACCTCAGAAATTCTGCTTTACATGCAGATAATTGTTGGGTTAATTCGTAGTCATTCCTGGCTATTCCTTAAAGCGCATCCCTGAGGTCCAGCCTGGGAAGTGACTCTTCTATCTGATTCGGACTCTCCCTTGCTCTGCTTCAGCCAGAAGGATGGACTTTCAGCTTCATTTCCCCCTCTTCTACCCCCACCTCCTCCTCCTGACTTTGCAGTCCTGTCTCATGGTCCGTCTGACCTCCCAGATGCCCAGGCTCCAGCCCATGGTGGCAGCATCGGTGCCTCCTACTTCCTCATCCACTGCGCCCTGTCAGTTCCACTCCTTTGC